GAATTTATTTTTTTTTTATATATTTTTTTTAAAGGGAAGGCTCTGGTCTTTATTACACTGAAAACAAAAACAGGGCCGGGAACTCCCCACATACAACCCGGACACAATCACAATCAACTCTGGGACCATTACCCAGCTTAGGTGCAGGCGTTGGGACACTGTGGTCTAGTGGCAGAGTGGCCAATTCCGGACCGCTGCCCTGACACATCCCAACCCTGGGAAAAAAAAAAAAAAAAGTACACAAATTAGCTACAAGCCGAAACTCCAACCACAAACCAGCAAATTGTCTCCCTAAAAATCTATGATTAACAAAACTATCAAACTACTTAAAGCTCAATTTAACTCTATGCTACTCTCTATTCCCCTTTAACCGGTAATATTCTACTAAGAACAAAGCCTTATAATTCCTTTCCCTATCGTCTCCATGTCGTTAAACTACCCTATCAACCCTCACTCTTTGCCTAATCCGACTTAGAGAGAGGGTATCACTGTAATGATGGCGCTCCTTCCGCAAACAGTCCTTCTGCCAGCCTCCTGCGGCTATAAACAACCGAGCAGCCCAGGTTGAGAATTTTACTCCTACCGTTGGAATAACCAAGTAGCCAATACCAACTGTCCTTCTCCATCAATTGAGGCAAAGGAGTTGTTAATACACCAAGTTTCACGAAACCACAGCTTGTCACCGATTCTGTTGATAGGTTTGGTGACTTTCCTCCGCCAGTCCGCCTTGATTGCTCTTCTCAGACCCTGCATAACAGTAGTTCTAATCTGCACATTGGTCCATTGCCTGTCTTCAAACACTCGATCATTTCTGGTCTGCCAAATGACTGAGCAAGGACTGCTCTTGCCGTCTGCGCTATATAGCCCCAACCCTTGGTAAGCAGTAAACTATCTGGAATGCCTCCGAGTAAAGTCCATATTTTGTTCCACTCCAGCTCTTGGCCGGGTAAGGTTTTCCAGATATTTATCCACCACTTCCAAATTCTAACTGAGGCCGGGCAGTCCCACCACAGGTGGATTGTCGACTCAAACGCCCATTCACATCGTAAGCACTTCAAGTCTACTTCCATTTGCCTCTCTGCTACGGGGTGGCCAGCATCGACAACAACCATAATATGGACGCCTGACGTTGACATGGGATTAACTTAAGTTGTTCCCAACAGTTTTCCAGTGCTTTCCCAGTTATAGCCGGATCGCATTCCAATAGAGCCAGCCATCTAGCACGTGCCACTGTAAGTGGATCTTTCCTCGGGACAACAGCTTTATATCCAATCTTCTGTGTATACTCCAGCAAGCATACATTAGTGCCTTCTTCCCCCAAGGCCCGCCATTCCCACATACAGGGATCCAGTTTTAGGGCCTTGACTAGCATACCTTTCAGCAGTAATGTGCAAGACTGTTCTCCTTCTGATGAAACAACTTCTTTGACACGAATCTGAGAGAGTCTAGACCCCACTGTCGGGTGTTCATCATCTTCCAATTTCAACAGCATGTTATCCCCTTTGTTTTCTCATCCTTGAAAGCTTCTAGAACCATCAGATGGATATTCTACCAACTTCCACATTCTGGTACTTTCACCTTCACAGACAAGCAGTTGGCTGCAATTGGTCCTTCCAATGTTGAGGAGTGGCTGCTATTAACATATTTAATTTGTGACCCACATTCCTCATATGCCCAAGTGGCTTTCGTAGCTCCGATTCAGTTTTCCATGTGCCAAGCAGAGAATTCCAAATATCCCCAATCCTCAAAACACCTTTTTCTATCCATTTGCGACCAAAGCTGCTGTCCGCTTTAATCCATTCATATCCTGGTAGCCGTATCTTCGGGTTCTCAAACAGGGGCTGGGACAAGATTTCTGCTTTTGTAACAGGTTCTACCCAAACATCTGGTCTGAGTTTTTTCCATGCTACGATAATAGCTCTCCAGAACGGTGATTTGATTTGTCTTCGTTGAAACGAATATAGCATCAGACACGTCCATACATCCTGCGGTCTCGCTAGGTTCCTCTCAGATGCGAGAATATACTCAGCCATTTCCACCCAGTGGGGGGCTGGACTCACAGTGCTTGCACGAATCAACCATCTGATCAGCATCGCATTGATCTGCTTTGAGGGGTCAAGTAACCCCAGTCCACCTTTAGCTCTAGGAGTACATATCATCTCCCAGGCCACTTTGGAGATAAATGAGTCCTCCTCTTTAGCATACGGCTTCCAGATAAACTTTGTCGTCTTTCTCTTAGTTAGGGCATACAATTGCTTACCGAGCGCTCTCACAGTCCCTACAAACCACAGTAGTGCGAATAAAGCCCCATTTACAAACTGTGCCCTGCCGAACAGAGATAAATGAGGGGTCTTGCCCCATGTTGTCGTCCTGTGCATAGACTTCTGCGAAAGTAGGTCGTCCTGATCTCCTTCACAGTCAAGCAGCGAAATTTGGACTCCCAAGAAACGCTCAGACTGATTATCAGACACTCGTTTCATACCCCACTCACATACTATAGTAAATTTCATTGGGAGGAGATAAACAGACTTGTGCCAATTAACCAAAGCTTCCGAGAGATTGGAGTATACATCCAATTCATATTTTAAAGCTCCTAGCGATTCTATCGAGTTTTCGGATATTGCGAACAAATCATCGGTCAGGGCTTTCACTTTGCATTGGGATGTACCTACCTGAAGACCTTTGATTCGCGTTTGAGCACGAATGTTGTTTAACAACACTTCCATTTGTGTTGCAAACATAAGTGGTGCTAACGGGCATCCTTGTCGTAACGACCGAGTGAGCCTAAACGGTTTAGAGACCTGGCCATTGATTATCACAGATGTTGTGGAGAGCGTGTACATAGCAACAATCCATTTGCAAAAATTGTCACCAAATCCCATTACTTTCATTGTTGTAAGGACATATGACCAATTCACACGATCATATGCCTTTTCCAAATCTAGTAGTAGGACTACGATAACCAGGGAATCATTCTGAACGATCTCCAACGTTTCAATGGCTGTAACTATATTATCAAAGATTGATCTACCCTGTACAAATGCTGCCTGATTGTTAGAGACCAATGAGAGAAGATATTTCCCCAATCTTCTCGCTAACATTTTCGCAAACAGCTTGTACGAGACATTTAGCATTGAGATCGGTCTCCAGTTCCGAATTTCTGCACGATCCCCTTTCTTAAACATAACAGAAATGATGCCATGTCGCATGTTCTCCGACAACTTAGAATCCAATAGCGCCTCATTGTAAATTTCAACTAGACTAGTCCCCACCTCGTTCCAGATCGCCAGGTACAGCTCTACGGGGAGACCATCATCTCCAGGGGCCTTACCTTTGGCCATTACTCTCAAGGCTTCCCAGGCCTCTTCTGTCGTAATCGGGCGGTCTAAGTCCAAACGTCCTGTAGGTGAGATCCTAGTTGTCGTGTTATTCCAATGGTCAGACCCTTCATCCAGGTTATTTACTATATCAGCACCTTGTAGTCTTGACGTTAAAATATCTTGATAATAAATCACAGCATACTCACACAATTGTGTGAGCTTCTTAGCCCTTGGTGGAGATGAGTCAAACGGATGCTGTAGCTCACACATCGGCACAGATGAACGTCTCGGTAGCAGTTTCTGGAAGGATTCTTTAGTCATCCTATCATATACTGCTATTCCTTTAACCAACAATCGCTCTGACCACACTTCGGAACTCTTCTTTTGAAGATCATCCCATTCCCCCATCAATTTTGTTCTTTCTTTTCCCCAGACCAAATTGGAGACTGGATGTTTAGCCATTCGCTGTTCAATATACTTCATCTTCCTTTTCAACTTCTCTTCCGTATTAACTCTGTTTGTGGTCATAATTCTCGAAATAACATTCAGTAGATTTGAAAACAATTTCGACCCAGAGTTCCACCACTGTTCCTTCGTAGGGAAACTCAAACGAGAAGTTTCCCATGTTGTCCAAGACTCCTTCATCCATGCCACTAACCCTGGGTCCTCCAGGTTTTGTGTATTAAAACGAAAAAGACTTTTACCTCTACTCGGAGGTGCGGTAGTTAATGATAGGCATACTGGCTTATGGTCGGATAAGGGGTGCATGGTTTCTTCAACTGAGCTGACCGTGTCCCACAACTGCGTGGATATTAGGAAATAATCTAGTCTGCGAACAGTGGTACCAGTCCTCTCATTCCACTTCGAAAACCACGTTGGTCCAGGCAGGTCTGGATGAGTCAATCGGTATGGATCAACAAGATTCAGCTCATTCATTAGGGATAATAGTGCAGCTTTGTCTCGTACCCTTGGTGTAGTCGAGGAGGTAGCATCTAATGACATATTCCAATCTGCAGCTAATATCATCCGATCGCAGTCAGGAATTACATAGAGCAACTCATCAAAGAAATTAATCCGCTCTGCACGATCAACGGGAGCATAGATAGAAACCACCAAAAAATTTTGATCATCCTTTAGGAATTTTACCCAACACCACTTCCCCCACAAATCAGAGTAGAAATCTATAATCTCAATATTAGCATCAGGATGAATCAATATCACCGTGCCTCCTCTCGTACCTTGGGCAGGGGTAATTTGAGGCCCATCCCACCAATGACCCAACGCATTAGTTTTTTCTTCATTAAGCTTGGTTTCTTGCAAACAGGCGATATGACACCTATTATCGTGAAGCCACGATTTTAGCCTACTCCGTTTGTCTCTTCTCGTAGTATCTCCTAGTCCCCTTAAATTCCATGATGTCAGGTTTAACTTAGACATTTCCTACTGCCCCACCTGAGGATGGTTGGATACAGGGGTCCGATTGTGGAGTCTCATTCGGAGTTTCCCAGGGAGAGGCAAGCCAAGTCTTAACGAAATGTGAGTTCAACTTCTTCAGATTTGGCAGCCACCCGTCCATTTCAACCAAGATTTCCGCATTACAGAAAGGGGGAACTCTTACTCTAGCCAATTCCTGACGACGTTTTTCCACCAACCACATGAGGGGTAACAGGCATAGCCCTTCAGATTCCAGAGCCTCCAACTGTCCCAACTCGAATCTCACATCAAATATTGGCAGGAAGAATTTAAGTCTCTTTCAACTCTGGTCTGGGTGGTCTAAGATTAATCTTACCATCAACTCATCACCAACCCAGCGAATTTGAAACTTATTTCGATTTGCCGTTCTGATCAAGCTGAGAATCGCCGACGGCATCGGTTGTTTTGGAGAAGCAATATTCACGAGTGCCTGTGTCCCTTCAGGGTCCATAAAGGACACCATCCAGAGATTCTTCCGAGCATAAGTACAAAGAAGAGGTAGGATCCTTACCTCAAGGCCTTGGAGTTGACCTTTTTGCAGTGCGACCAACGTTCTTCTTCTTGTGGTCTTGGTCCCTCGCGTACCAGTGACTGTGTTCTGGGAATTCTCGGAGCCTGGAGGTGAGACCCATTCCCCATTCCGCACCGAAGACGTCAAGGGACTACCTTCTAGTCGTCTTTGCTTGCCTAGCCCGATTGTTTTCGAGCGCGGAGTTGATATCTCTGGAGTACCCACTGCTTGCCTTCCTCCTGTTGTTGTCCCCGTCGGCGGCCGGCCCATTCGTTGATGTGAGCTCTGTTGATGATCCTCTAGTCTAAACGAGGAGGTTCCATTCCGCATCGCCGCTGATGTTGCTCCTGCCTGCTGAAGTCCCGACTGCATACTTGAGGCATTATACGGGGCGAATCCTGATGCCCACTGTTGTTGAAGATGCAACATCCATGGGTGAACGCCCATGTTCATCGCCGGATCCCCTGCCAAGGAGAAACTTCCCCTAGGGTATGCATATAGACCTGGTGAGAAGATAGGGTTAATGTGCGCCGAACTACCTCCTACACCAATACCTTGCCCCCATCCGGTTGTACTGCCGATTGGGGGCATACCTCCCAAGTGATTCGGTTGGAGCCCTTGTGGGATTCTTGTCGCAGAGCCCCCAACCGCACTTCCTCCTACAACAGTATCTCCTTCCCCCATAGTCGATGCTCCATCTCCTCCTATCGCCGGCACTCCATTCGGCGCTCCATTTGGAATTGCACCTTGACTGCCTTGACTTCCTAGTGGACGAAGATATCCTTGATATATGTTGGTCGACTAGTTGCTTCCGATTGACCTTGTTGTGTCGGTACTTCCTGACCTTGCTGACGATTACGCCTGCACTCGACTTCCGTATGGAAGAACGCTCTGCATCTCCTGCATCTTGGCGTTTCAGCAGAGGCCAACTTGACCTCTAAGGAGTCTCCTTCGCATGTATCCACCCAGATTTTGTCTCTCATATTGGGTCTTGCCACAGGATCAATCTCAAATTTGATATTGATCAGCACCGGCTTCAATCTGTCTTGCTCTGCAGGATGTACCCGAATAACTGGTCCAATGGCCCGTGCAATTTGCACCTCCAAGTAAAAGAAGGCATCGAGTGGAACCTGAATTGCAATGACCCAGAAGACTGAGTCGTCCTCCTCCTGTCTTTGTGCCTTCAGTTGTGCCTTCGTAAGCCATGGTTTGAATTCGAAGGCATAACGCGTCGAGCCTATTGTGATCTCGTCACGCCCCTTCAAGACCATCCAATTCGCAATCGCCGCGTTCTTCGCCACATACGACACTACGTTCGGACTTTCCACTTTGACTCTTCCTCTACTGAAGGTAGCCGGGTTAAGTGTACCATCTGCGCTCCTCTCATCTTCGAATGCCCTCACGATGTCCTCCTTGACTTTCCTTGACAGAAACCTAGCACCATCCCGAAAAATAATGGTGACAGTGTGCTCTTTGAGCCAGGAGATCTTCACTTGATCAATACGTCTATTAACCTTGAAACGTACTTCTCTCCCTTCGCCACTCATTACACCTGGGTCAATGCTTGCTGTCATAATCCCATCCTCATAACATCGTCTAGGCAATTCGCGAAGTCTTTCATTATCTTCCTCGGTCTCCACCGGTGCTGCCGGGGGAGAGCGAGGCCCTCGAGCCATTTCTACTTCCGTCATCACTGTAAGTGGTTAAATACCTGCACTTAGATCTGTTATTTCGCCAAACGAATAGCTGCTAGTTCGGGAACTCCTAACACCGGAAGGTATCCGAAGAGCAGGCTTCGTCAACTTCTATGCTCCTCCACTACTCAACATTCGACTCCTAGTTCTATTCCAACTTACTCGTGGCAAACTTCTCGTCATCCCAACCTTACAGAGGCTGTTCAGTCTACGACTTTGGACGTACCCAGGGCTTCTGGCATGGAGGTGCCATAGCATCAAGGCTATGTCGCGCCGTCGAGGCGACGCCATGCACACTCCATGCCTTGTCGGCGCGCTAACACGTTGGTAGCCGCTACGACGAAGCTCGCCGTCGTTACCGATGGGAGTGCGCTAGGTCCGAGCGCCGTAGCGCTGGCGGTAGCGCACCGGGCCGTCCAATGTTTCTCTCCAACCGGGTTTCTGACATCAGCCCGGACGAAGAATTCAGTAGCATTTGGTTATTCATTGTTTTTTGGGAAATAGGGGAAGAAAAGCTTCCTGTAGCGGACCTCGGGTTGGCCTGTGAGACCAGCCCCTTGGCCTGTTCTCACAGGCCTGTGTTGTATTCGGGGTAGGCCAGTCCAGGCTGGTACCTCTGTCGGTACCAGCCAGTCCAGTCCAGTCCCGTCAGTCTGCTGGGGTATACCCCAGCCATTGTCTGTTTTCACCCTCATTCTTCACTTGCACATTTCTGGAGTACATGCGTTGGAGTCTTGCGTGGGAGCTGCGTTGTGCGTCATCTTGCTCCCCCTTCTTCCTCCATCTCCATCTCTACCACTAGCGGAGCACCATACCTGGTGGGTCCGCTACATTGGTATCGGAGCGGGAACGGTCCCCGCTCCCTCCCACCACCCCGTACAGCTGGGCAGCAGCCCGCACAGGCGGAAAAGCGGCAAAACCCGACAGCGGGTTTTTTCGGTGTTTTGGGGGTATTTCGCAGCGAAAACGAAGGAGAAAAGTGGCGCATGCTGCAGGTGCCACGTGGCGAAAAAGGGAGGCACTACCACGAGCGAGTGCGCGCAAGCGCCAAGGCGAAGGTCGTCGCACGCGCCCACGCTGCCCTTCTGCCCCGCCCCGCTCCCGGATATATATTATCAAGATCCGGGATGCAACTGCTGCTGCTGGGATTTGAACCCGGGTGGCTGCTGGGCCATGCGCGTGCGTACGCACCCTACTAACACACTCGCCATAGAGTGTACATGGTTTTGTAACACGGCACACTCGTGTTAAAGAGGTGCCGTGCTGAGTATTTACCCCCCCCCCCCCTGTTGGCTGCTGTTGGCCGTGGACGTGGCCATCTGCCCTGCCAGGTGGCAGCTGGTGCTGGAACAGAAGACCCCCCTGCTTAGGGGGCCGCTCTACAGTGGTGAGGGCCTGCTCACACAGCAGACCCTAGATCCGCACATCTGCAGAACAGTGGCTGCCAGGGGCTGATCAAGATCTCAGCCCCCCTTTCCCCTACAACTGGCTTGCTGCAGTGAAGGCCAAGACCCTCCTGGTCTTGGTGTACCTTGTGCCCTTGGAGACACCAAGGGCCAGGTATCACTCCCTTCTCCCCTCTCCCTCTACTACCCCACTCTCCCTACCTCTCCTCTCTCCTCTTATTCACCCCTTCTCTTTCCCCCACCTTCTACTGCATCTTTTCTCTCCTCCTTTTATCTTCCCCACCCCACCTTTCTCCCAACACCCAGTCTTTTACTATACTTTCTTTATTTCTTTTCTTTTCTTCCTCCTTCTTTTCTCTTTGCCTCTTGATCCTTGTCCACCTTTCCCCATCCCTCCTCTCCCCCAACTACCACCACACCATCCCCCCCTACCTCCCACTTCATCTTTTTCTCTCCCCCCACCTAKTTCTTTCTTTTCTCCCTCACTTTTCATTCCCCTTCCCCCCTACTTCGAAAATTTTTCTGTTTTTCTTCTTTCCACCTCTCTTTT